AACTAGACGTTTGGAACGGCTAGTAACGACATGATAGCCGTTGGGGAGGGGTTTGGGGTGGTGGGGGTTTTCAATTTTTTTTCTATATATACTAATATACCTACTCATTTTATACATGTCTTCACACTATTCTACTTCTACTTACCTTCTACTCTCAATTCTCAATATCTCAATCAATTTCCATTATTCACATTTACACTTTCATCTTTAATAATTCATATATTCTCATATTATAATTATATTTATATACATATTTAGTATTACACAATAATACTATATAAATATTTATAACTTCTATGTCTACATTCCTACTTTTACTCTTTCAATCTTTCTTATTAAATATGTTATATTACAATTATATTTATATACTCGTACACCTTCATATTCAACACATATATTTAATTATATACTCCCTCCGATCCTAAATAAACTTCACACTTTGACTTCACACAAATTAAGGAATTAAAATTGACTTTACTGTAGAGTATACTGTTTGGAACTGTTTGGCACTGTTTTGCACTGTTATGCACTGTTTTGATGTAGATAATTTGCCAAATAAGGAAGTGAGAAAAAGTGTGAAGTTTATTTTGGACCTATCCAAAAAAGAAAGTGTGAAGTTTATTTAGGACCGGAGGGAGTACATTTGTAGTTAACTAGTTCCTACATTGTTGTAGTTAGCTAGTTCCTACTTCATTTTTGTTAATTACTTCCTTCATTACTTTCCATTGTATAATTAAGTAATTGTTATACATTAATATATAATTTAATGTAGACACACATATATACATATTAAACAATTTTTACCAAATAATACGTAGAAACGGTCATTTATCTCTCTACAAAAATTCGCTCTCTCCAATCTCTAGAATTATCTACGCTCCTATCCCCAATCTGGCTTGACCTAGTTCATCAGGCTCGTCTCTAGACCTCCCCCGCAATGGGGGAGCCTCCCCAGTTACCTAAATCTTGGGCGTCAGTGGTTTCCGGCGCTCCCAGGAAACAGCTGAACGTTAAAGATGACCCTTCGCTTCAGATACTCGTCGGAAAACACAAGGGGTGTTTATCGGTGAAGATTCCTAAGGCGAGATCTGATATTATTGCTGGTGACTTGCAGTACGCTCTGGTTGGAACCTTCCTGAAAGGCCGACCGTCTCTGTTATCTATCTGTAAGGTTTTTGAAGCTATGAATTACAAATCTTTTTCTATAGGTTTACTCTATAAGAATGAGATCCTTATCTCATTCTCGGATAAAACTGAATATATTCGTTGTCGGATGCGACAACCCTGTAGTCTCTAGATGGTATCCTGGGTATCATCCTGCCAGAGAATCATCGTTTGTACCCTGCTGGATCCAGTTCCCCCACCTCCCTTTTCATTTGTTTGACGAAGAATTCTGGTTTGAACTGTGTTCAAATTTTTGTCACCCCCTTCGATGTGATAAACCGACATTGGATAAAAAACGTCCCTCCGTTGCATGGATCCTTGTTGAGATTGATCTCCTGAAACCGATACCTGATAAGTTCTGGCTGGAAGACGAAGGGTATGAAGGTTTCTGGCAGTACATCTTGACGGAGGAGCAACTCCCCCAATACTGTACTGTGTGCCATCATGTTGGTCACGCTGTTGGGAAATGCTCCAAAATTAACAACCCCCCTCAAATGGAAAACCAATCTGATATTAATCCTATCCTAACATTGGATAAGGGCAAGAGGGTGGTTTCCAACAACAATCCCCCCCACAACCATCTCAACCCCCCCACTCAAACTGTTATGGCTTGGCGTAAGACAAGTCTTGGTATTGGACAAACGTCAGGCGTGTCAAAGGGACATGATGATGGACCTCAACTTGAAAAGTTTGAGGATGCCCTCCAGATCCTGGAGGAGGTTCCATCTGATCCACCTCCTGAAGTTAGCCCCCGGGCTTAGAAGCTTCTGTTCATGACACTCAGTCCCATATCAATGACAACATCTGCCCCCCTCCAATACTATTATTGTTGCTAACGATTTGCTAACAAGTGTGCAGGAGATTGCTAAAGACGTTATCGATACCCCAATGCACACACCCTGCTAATGGTACTCATATTGATATGACTAATACAGTGCAGGACATTGATGATACTATCACTGAGAGCCTTATGCACCCACCCCACCCTACAAAAGAAAAACCTCTAGCACCAAAACCTGCTTCTCCCATCCCTACAAATACTGTTGTTAACCTGGTTCTTACTGATTTGAACGAGGATGGTGCTGAGGACCAAAATCGAGGGGATTTTGACATGGACCCCCAGAGAAACTGTCTCTGATGGGGAACCATCCAAAACAACCACATAGAAGTTCCAAGCTTCTTCTGTCCCATCGAAAACCCAAAATCATAGAGAGCCTTTTACACTTTAAGGCCCAAGAAAACTGCCCAACCGCATCTTTCTAACGATAAGTAGCCTCTTCCGGAACATATCGGGAGTTGGTAACTCCCAATCGACTGACCGTTTAAAGTTTTTATGCAGTACTTATCATATTAATTTGCTTTCTATTATTGAACCTAAAATTAGTTCTACCAATTTGAATAAAAATATGATGAATCTTGGTTTTTATAATGCTTTTGCTCACACACGCAACAAAATTTGGATCATCCCTCTTATACTGTCAACATTATATCTGATAAGTCCCAATGTATCAATTTCTCTGTCACTACTAACCAGTTTGATTATACTTTGTATATTTCTGTGGTGTATGGAGCCAATGACAGAATCAGTAAAAGGACACTGTGGGATGAATTGACTTCCTTCAGAGGAAGCATTGGCCCAAAACCTTGGCTATTGGGTGGTGACTTTAATGTCATCAGAAATCTGGACGAATACAAAGGTAAAAGTATGCCCAACAAAAGTGATATGGATGAGTTTAATGATTTTATTTTTTCGAACAGTCTGTCTGAGCTTACCTTCTAGGGTACCCCGTACACCTGGATGGGGAATAGGATGAAAGGTCTTGTTTCAAAAAAACTGGATAGAGTTATGGCTTCAAATGAGCTTTTACAGCTCAACTGGAACCTAACTCTCAAAAAGTTAAATAAATCCGTCTCTTATCACAATCCTTTACTTCTTCAAGTTAATCGTGTTCCTAAGAATGGCCCAAATTTTTTTCGTTTTCAGCATATGTGGACTAAGCACTCTACTTACCTTGACACGGTCAAAACTTCCTGAGATTCCCCTTGTGATTTTTATGGAATGTTCCATTTTTTCAGAAAACTAATGAGGCAAAAAAATGATCTCAAAGAGTGGAATCTTACCACTTTTGGAAATATTTTTTAACACCAGTCTGAAGTTGAAAAACAAATTACTTTTCTTGAAGAAAAAACCTCTGATTCCCTTTCTGAGGATGATCATATCCTTTTGAAACATGCTCAGGCCAGATACATTTAAGCCTCTGCCTATATAAAGACTTATTATGAGCAGAAGGCAAAAGTGAAATGGCTACAGAATGGTGATGCAAACACAAGATTTTTCCATCAATCCTTAAAAGCCAAACACCAAAAGCTTAGTATCACCAAAATTAGGCTGGATAATGATAATTGGATTGATAATATTGATGATATCAGTAACGCTGCCACCACGTATTTCACCGATCTCCTCACTGCTAATGATACCTGTGATATGCTTGACCCAAGTCTCTACCTGAATTCTATCAATCCTGTTATTACTAATGATGATAATGTGCAACTTTTAAGCCCCATTACTAAAGCTGAGCTTAGGGCAGCGGTGTTTGATCTAAACAAAGATAGTGCCCCTGGTAGTGATGGCTTCGATGGCCTCTTTTATCAAACCACTTATGATATTATTGAAGAGTACATGTATAATGCTGTTCGTGAATTTTTTTGTGGTGTCCCCATCCCCAAATCCATTGCCCACACTCTAATAGCTCTAATCCCTAAAACAAAAAATGCTTACCAGTTTTCCCAATTTAGGCCGATCAGTCTTGGTAACTTCATTAATAAAATCTTCACTAAGATAATCACTATGAGAATAACCCCTCTTCTATTGAGAATTATTTCTGTTGAGCAATTGGGGCGGTTCCCGATAGAATTTTTTGATGAATTTTTTTGATCATTTTCATCATTAAGTCTAGTTTAATCATATCAAATTTTAGCTAAAAATTAAATCGGCAAGGCAGTCAAATGATTTTCCGAAATGTACTACGCTGTTTAGCTACGCAGTTATCTTCAAAAAATCATTTGACTGCCTTCCCGGTTGATTTTTTAGCTGAAATTTGGTATGAGTAAAGTAGACTTAATGAAGAAGATGCTAAAAAAATTTCATCAAAATATTCCACCGTGAAACGCCCCAATTGACGACAGCCGAGCAGAACCTTCTAAATAAGGGGCTAATTGAACACTTTAAGTTAGTTCATGTACCTATTTGACCCTTTAGCTTAATATATTTAAAAAAACTGAAAAAAACTGGAAAATAAGCTTATGAGAAAGGTGTGGAGTCGTGAGTTCGTCACGGTGATAAGCTTTCCACTGCTAGCTCAGTCTCCATTGGAGGCTCAGCTCAAGGCTCTCTTATTTGCTACTAGATGGACGGTAGAGGAAGGATATGCAAGCTTCAAGGTTGAATCCGATCGATGGCTCTAAGGAAATAGATGGTGTTTGGGCATACGAAGCGGAAAGGGAATTGGGTTGCGCATCACATGGCCCAGGTCGTGGTGGATCGGTTAAAAAAATTCTCTACCCTTGATCAACTTTCGATTTTTGTTAAAAGAGCTTATTGGACGGACGATTTTGGTATTGCTTCTATTAGAATTTAGCTCTTTTATTTTGACTATTCGAGTAAGGCTTGCACCCCCACCCCCATTTATTTGTAATTTGGTTTGATTTTTTATTTATAATATTCGGTAAATGTTTCCCGGCATTACCCGATTGACAGGACCCTCCTCCGATTAAAATCCAGGTCGATGGAGAAATCAGTTTTGCTATGGAAATTTTATCATAAAAATCTAATTCTTGGAGAAGTAAGGTAAAGAAAGAGTGAGATTTTCAACACTATTGTAACAAAATCCGGAAGAAAAAGAAGAGAAGAAATGGTGGGATGTTGGGACCGGTGGGTAAGGTCTCCCGGTCCGCGCCTAACCCGACCTCCTCATCCTCATCCTCCTCCTCCTTGTTTCAACCTGCATACATAACATAACCGATCTCTCCTGCTGCATTTGCATCCTCTCATTTATCTGTGACGAACACATACACAAGCTGCGGCACTGACACGTATATACAAGAGAAAAGAAACGTATCCCTCGTTCAATTCTATTCCAGATTTCTAAACCCTATCTCTCTCTCTCTCTCTCTCTAGTGTTTTGGATTTTTTATAATGTGGGTTCGGGTTTCTTCGCTTGAAATTCTTTGAGTGATTCTTTTTCTTTCTTTCTTTATCTTATAACTTTGTGTTGTGTTTCCTTTCAATTGTTTCGGCTACCCAGAGAAGGGCTTGAGCTGCTGGTGTGAATGGCGGAGCCAATGAGGAGGTTTGGAGTGGGCTACGCCTTGGCGCCGAAGAAGCAGGCGAGTTTCATTCAGGCGTCTCTTGTGAATCTTGCGAGGGAGAATGGGATCGATCTCATCCAGATCGACACGGAGAAGCCACTGGTGGATCAGGGACCGTTCGATTGCGTTCTCCACAAGCTATACGGCGAGGATTGGAAGCGCCAGCTGGAGGAGTTCTCTTCCCGGAACCCTAAAGCTCTCATCATCGACTCCCCGGAGGCTATAGAGCGGCTGCACAACCGTATCTCCATGCTCCAGTTCGTCACCAAGGTTGAGATCGACTGCCAGGTGGCCTCTTTGGGTATTCCTAAGCAAACCGTTATCTACGACGCCCAAATGGTTTCCTCCTTCAAAATGGAGAACGAAGGTCTCAAGTTCCCCGTCATTGCCAAACCCCTAGTTGCTGATGGAAGCGCCAAATCACACAAGATGCTTCTGGTTTTCAACAAGGACGGACTTTGTAAGCTGAAGCCCCCCATTGTTCTTCAGGAGTTCGTCAACCATGGGGCTGTCATTTTCAAGGTGTATGTGGTTGGTGATTATGTGAAATGTGTTAAGAGGAAGTCCTTGCCGGATGTCAATGAAGATAATTTGGGGTGTTTGGAGGGTTATTTCTCATTTTCGCAGGTCTCAAACTGTCGCACCAATGAGAAAAATGATGACAAGTACTGTAAGATGATGAATTTGGAAGATGCGGAGTTGCCCCCTTTGAGTTTTCTTACAGAAATAGCCAGAGGACTTAGAAGAGAAACAAGGCTTCATCTTTTCAATTTCGATGTGATCAGGGACAACAAGCTCGGGAATAGGTACCTTGTTATTGACATTAACTACTTCCCGGGTTATGCAAAGATGCCAAATTATGAGTCTGTCATGACTGGATTTTTCTGGGATGTCTTGAGTACGAAAAAAGATGAGAGTTCCAAAGGTTTCAGGATTGGGCTTGAGAATGAGGTTAGGATGTTGGTTGGGAACACTGGATATGAGGAAGCTGAAGTGACATTACCTGTTTCCCCCCTTAAGAAGGGGGAAGAGAAGGAGACTCCTATCCAGGTCTGAGGCTGTGGGAATGGGATGCGTTTTTTTGCAAAATTTGGACGTTTGGTCAGTAAAATTAGCCAAACAATAGTGACCTTTCTCTTGGTTTGCAGTTGTTTTTTAGTTAGAGAGGAGGTAGTAATAACTAGGTTATTGGCTTTGTTCCGGCCCCATGAAAGTTCTTTGTCAGAAGTGTACAATTCAATCTTAGCAGTGGGAAATAGGTACATTGCAAATACTCTTTTTTCTAGGAAAGTGAAGTTTTAATTCGAAATGCAAATGTATTTCATGGCTATGAAAATATCTTAATCGTCTGCCTTTGACATCTTTGGTCGATGATTTATGGTGGACTGTAAATCGAGTTTGATTTTTTTTCTGTTGTTATTCTTCGAAGTTGCATGGGGTGTCGTACTCTCATGTTATACAAAATGTTATGCTTTTGCTGTTTTCAGCCAAATTGGGTATGTCACATGGCAGGATAAATTCAGATTTTCTTGGAGTATTCCTATTATGGAAAGGCTAAGTTTCATACCATATATGTTTAGATCTTGTTTCAGTACTTATTCACCTTCATGCATGATTCTGGATGAAACACAACTAGTGGTTGATATTTATGCAAAGAGAAACTATGCTTGATCCTTGCAGTGCTCGTGAAATTTGAATGTGAAGTTTTTATTTTGTGTGTCATGGTGCATGGGTATAGTTCCTTAGGATTGCCACAGGCTGCAGAAAAACTATTGAGTTCTTGAGTAAAAGCTTAGTGTCTTTTTCCAGTTCTTATCCATTGGATTAACCTGTTATTGTCTGTCACGATTAACACTTGGGGTCAGTCTGGACGGAGTGTTTTGAAGGGGAAGCCGGGAAGGCTCTGTATGGCTTAGTCTTATATAACTTGACAAATGTTTCTTGACATTATCCTTCAATATTTATAAAATCTTGATGTATATCAAGGTGTACATTCATACTGACCAATTATTTTCTCCGCACTGGACAAGATCTAGCACCCCTCTCCTTCAAAACCTTAAATCCCCTTTATGTTGAGACACAAAAGTAGAGTTAATCCCAGTACTCTCTGTCCATACGCAACATTGTCTGTATGCATCTAACTGTCTCTGTTAAGAGAAAGCAACCCTCTGACTATTGCTTTTTTCCTGAACAAATGGCTATTGAAATTCATGACGAGAATATTGGCACGAGGTAGGGTGGGAGGTAGAAAGGAAGTAGAGACCTGTAATGATTTTTTTGTCTATTTAAATCCTTATAGATCATATTTAGTGATTGGAGAATTTAAGAAATGGGTGTACCATTGCCATGATCATATCTTCTCATCTGGGTCAGGTTTAATAATAATTCTGTCTCTGATCTTCTCAATTGAGTGACCCCACACATTTATTTATCTGTTTGGATTGTTTGAGTGTTGTATGTGTGAACAAACATGTATTCAATATTTCAGCCATTTTACATGCCGGTCAAAATGTTTGCGCGCAGAAATATTTTTCGTGTGAAGAGAAATGTATTTTGCAACGACAAAAAATAAAAAAAGATTGTCAGTGCGAAAAACGATTCTCTTCACAAAACGAAAAAAATAGAATTGTGTGTACAACTGTACATAGATAATTTGACCGGCGTGTAAAATGATGCGTACAAACACCATTTCTCTTAATATTGCAATTTATATGTGCTCACATAGGTGGATTGTTATGAGGTGAGGAATGGTTTGTGTTATGTGTTGTGATGAGGTAGCTCGAGAATGAGAAGAGACGGGGAAGTAGCCATTTATGGACATGCTATGGTAAAACAATCTATGCTATGCCCTTGAGCCCAGCCTTTCACAAGTAATGTGCTGGAACAAGAAACTTAACTGTTTTGGTAAGTAAAACGAAGTTGAAACTGTGCTTTTGAAGGTGGCGAAAGTTGGAATAGCTTTTATTTCTATTGTTGGGGATTAAACTTGGGTTGTTAGATATCAGAATCTAGAAAGCACGAGGAAATAGGTAAGTTGCATTAATGCGGGCGGGGAGACAAGTAAGTGCTTCTTTGGTATTACTCTCTCCTGAAGCGCAAGCACTGGGGCCTGAATGTTCATGGGAGCCTGCCTGCATTCCATCTTGCCATGCTCTGCTCATTATCCATCACCACATTTATAAATCTTTTAGGCTCTTTCTTTGAGGTGGACATCATAACATGAATAAATATCTCTTGACTTACTTTTTCGTTTTACAAATCTTTGAGGTTCCAGCTGGTTGCCCTATCTTATAATTAGTAGCTTTTGACTTATTCGCCCGAAATGGATGCTACCAAATGTTTTGCTTTGATAAAATCACTTAGGGTATGTTTGGGAGTTCGGAGGGAAGGTGACGGGAAGACTTTGGAGATATGTTGTTGGAGGGGAAAGGGAGGGGAGGGTGAGGAAACCCTTTCTTTGTATTTGGGAGTAATAAATTTGGAAGAAGAGAGTTTTTGAATGAATTATAATTAAATCACTTTGAGATATGATGAGTTTAAATAATTGAACTGATATTTATTTTTAATTGAGCTTAAATTATCATTTCATTAATTCTCCTTCAAAACCATCCGAATTGAGGGAACTTAAAAATTGAGCTTTTAGAGGGTTTTGAGGGGTCATGAAAGCCCTCCAAAACCATCCCCTCCAATTTTATAAACTCCCAAACATGAAAAGGAGGGTTACAAACCCTCATCAACCTTCCCCTCTCCTCCAAAACCCAACTTCCAAACACACCCTAAGTTTTGAGGGTAGGGGAAGGTTTTGAAGGGGAGTAGAGAGAAGGGAAGGGGAGGGAGATGGGAAGGGATTCCCTCCTCTTGTTTGGGAGTTGCAAATTTCAAAAGAGGAGAGTTTGGGGACTTGAGGGGTTTCAGCTGCGGAGAAATGAAGCGAGTAGCAGCTCATAAAGATTTTATGCGGAAGCGATTTTAGTTTCAGAGGATAAATATCTCATTTGCGTAGCTAAACCTTATAAAACCCTCAAATCGGGGCAATTAGTAAAACCCAGATTTTGGAGGGTTTAGAAGGATTTTATAACACCCCAAAACTTTTCCCTCATATTTTTAAACTCCCAAACACAAATAGGAGGGTTTATTTCCCTCACATGCCTTCCCCTCCCCTCCAAAAACCAACTCCCAAAAACTTAAGCCAACAACTCTTGCCAAACTGGCTCTTTTATTCTCACTTGTGTTTATTATTTCTCAAGCTTACATTTGATTGATGGGTCATTATAGCTGGGAATAAACTTCTGACTTGCATCTTTGCTGCTTTGGATTTTGGGTATGTGTGTTTGCGCTATAGACTGACTTTTTACATATTTTTTGAGCTCTGTATATTATAAGGCTCATCTTGTGAATGTGCACTTTTGATACACACATTTCTTTTTATGTTTATGAACTAGAGTTGGTTTTCACTAGTAGACAAAGCGTTTGACATTTCTTGTATAATAGTCTCGAAAAAACCGAAAAGACCCTCAGATCAATGATGCCAGGTCTAATTTATATAGGGGGACAATGATCGCCCCTTAATTACATCATTAGGCCGAAATATTAATGCTATTTAATATTAAGTTTTATGAACTAATTATCGACACAAGTTGGTTGTCTGCTAATAACTGATGTCTTCTATGTCCGAACACTATCCTTTAGTAGCTTCCATCCAGCGATCTTGATCGTGATCAAGCGTTTGATTTTCCAGTTTTGACCGTCTGGTCAATGGATAATTATATCTATCACACGTCATATCTACTTTAAAAGCTTAATTTTTTTTCTTTAATAGGAAAAGAAGGTTAAGATAAGGCATGGACTCGGGCTGGGTCGGGACAATCCTCGGGCCGGTTCTGAGCGTACTTTTTATTGGGTTGTTGAGACCCGGAACCAGCTACCGGGTCTGGGTCGGGGCCGGGCCGGACCGGGCCGGCTACCTAATGTTTTTTTATTTTCTAATTATTTCCTACCCCCCACACCCCAAACCCCTCCAAACCACCCAACCTAGCACATTTACCTCCCAAAGATTGTGAAAAAAGAAATAGCCCACACCAGGCTCGGCCCGCCAGGCCGGTTCATTATTTGGGGACCCGGAGCCCGCCTCGAATATTTGCGGTTGGGGTATATTACACTCGGCCTGAACCCGGACCTCGGGTCGGACCGGTTCCAAATAGTGTCAGGCCAGGCCGATTACGGGCCAGATGACCCGGCCCAAGTCCATCCCTAGTTAAGATAAGTGATCTTGATACTTTAGGATCTACGGAGTGCACAGCAGTTAGAGTTTCCGAGTAGCTCAGATAGACACTAATGATTAATTGAGTGTGCTTAAAAGTTACAACAACCACTACAAAGCATTGTGTAATAGACTAATAGAAAATGTCAAATAGGAATGGACACGGACCGGCCCGGAACCGGACCGGCCCACTACTGTGCGGGCCCGGACCGGCCCGGTGAACCGGTTGGTTGGACGGTTCGGGCCACCCGGCCCGGTGGGATGGCGGTTCGGGCTCGAGCCCTTCAAAGGGTGAACCGGCACGGCCGGTTCGGGCCCAGGCCGGGCCATTTTTTTTTTCTTTTTGAATTTTTTTTAAGTTTTGGGTTGGGCTGGGTATTTTGGGCCATTTGAGGTGGTTAGGGTTGGTTTGGGGGCGAGGGGGAGAGTTGGGGGTTAACTAGGAAAAGCCAAAAAAAAAAAAATTAGAACCGAGGCCCGGCCCGGCCCGGACCCGGGGGTTACCCGGGCCGGTTCCGGGCCTCCCCTTCATGAACCGAGGCCCGAACCGGAACCGGTCCATCCCTAATGTCAAACATCATTATTGATGGAGTATATGGGTCTAGGCCCTAGGACCCACATACTCAGAAGAACAGAAGATACCACGATCACCTGGTGGGACCCCCGTCGGCCGGATGACCTCCATCGGCCAGAAAGAAGTCTACTCAGAATATGATCCAGAAGCCCGAAAAACCGGGTGACCTCGTCGGTCGGGTCTTCGTCGGCCATGCCCTCATCGGCCATAGATAGCCTCTAGAACAGGATTTTATACTCAGTCATTTCCGTACACTTTGTATTCGGCCCATTAGAGGCCCTGTTGTAAATGGGCCTCCCAAGCCCAAGGCTTGAGAGCCCAGCCCGTATTTTCCCTATAAATACTTCCTCTGGGAGTAGTTGTAGGGGTTGACAAATCATTTATTGCAAAGAGTTATTGCACTTCTCTCTTTAGCTCTCACTTCTCTCTAGGAGTTAATACTCCATCATTTGGTGCTTTCATTGAGAGCTAGAACAATCAAGTTAGCCTCCTTCGTCGCTACCAAGCACAACTAACTGATAATGGGAAGAACTAAGTCTAACCGCAACCTCCTCGGCAAGGCCATCCCTGAAGCCCAAGAGAACCGGGAACACGAGGAGGACGCTACGGCCGACAAGGCTCCCATCGAGGATGTCTTCCAGGAAGCCATCGGCCTCACCACTGACCTGCGCAACAAGCATAACGGCGGCGCCCCAGACGCCCGCATTAGCTTGGACAAGAAGCGCGCAGAAAAGGGCAACAACGTCTCCGGGCAACCGACCTCTCCTGCCGTTGACCCCCAGCTCCAGGTCGCACTCTCGGCCATCATCGTCAGCCTGGCCCAGAATCCCATCGTCCTTAGTGCACTCATGCCAAGGACGGAGGAGAACACGATGCCACCTCCTCAACCCCAGCCATTGGCCGTTAGGCTAGGCAACGATGAGGGGGTGGTGCCCTAGGACACGACGTCGTCCCACTCCCACCCTGCCTCCCCGCTTCGAGCTGGACCGACCCCTGCACGTGGAAAAGCCTCAGCCTTTAACAGGCTAGGTGACACGTGCCGTCGGCCTGCTTCGGAGAGGATGACGGGGCAGATTGGTCAGCGTGAGCCTGGCTCACCCAGGGAAAGCTTGGGGTCGGTATCCCGGACATTGGATCGGCCCCGCCTGGACAAAGGCAAGGGGAAACTGCATGAGGGTGATGCCCGTCACCAAATCAACACAGCTCACGCAGCCCGCTTGCAGACGCAGGGCGCCACCATGGCAGCCAAGGACCCCAGGGACGAGGTAATCGCCCAACTCGAGCGAAGGCTCGCTCAGATGGAAGCCAAGCAGCTGGCCGCCACGCCCGTGGGCAACTTATCCAGGGATCCCGGCTTCAACGCCCTTCTAAACAAGGTCACCATCCTTGAGAGGGAGTTGGCCGAAGGACGAGGAGACCCCATCATCCAAGTTAGGACGAGGACTCCCTTCACCGCCAGGGTACTCTCGGCCCCTATCCCCGAGAAGTACCTGGGAAACGCCATCAAGCCCTATGACGGCCGCTCCGACCCCCAGGAGCACTTCATCCGCTACCAGAACAATATGCTAATGGTGAACGCGTCAGATGAATACCTCTGCCGTTGGTTCCTTTCTATTCTTGAAGGGCCAGCGTACGAGTGGTTGAACGCGCTCCACGAAGGGAGCATAGACTCATGGAAAGACCTTGCCCAGCGCTTCCTCACTCACTTTGCCGAAAGGAAGCGCGCGAAGAAGTATTTCACCCATCTTCTCTCCGTCAAACAGAAGCATAACGAGTCACTCCGGTCATTCATCGACCGATGGACGAGGGAGACCGATGAGGTCGAGGGGGGCGATGAGCGCACCTCCTTGTCCTTTTTCTGGGCGCCTTCCACAGCACCCCATATGCGAGGAGCCTCATCACTGACCCACCGAGGTCCTATTTGAAGGCGCTTCAGCGAGGAAACTTGTACACTGACGCCGACGAGCTCCACAGCCACAAGAAGGACGGAGGGCACCCCTCCAAGAAGACAAACGGTACGCCAGCTCCAGGCGCACCCTCGGCCGGTGACCAAGGTCAGGTAGGACAAGGCCGCCACGGATCCAGCGGAAAAATCAAGGACCGCATATGGCGGCCGAGGATGGAAAGGCCGAAGACCCCACTCACTCATTCGGTCAGCTCTATCCTCGATTACGCCGAGGAACACGATCTCATTGAACGAGATCCTCGGTCGGCCAAGGAGATCTACGCCGTCCATCAGGGCGGCACCTACTGCCGTTATCACAGGAACACCTCCCACAACACAGACGACTGCGTCACGCTGAAGTGAGCCATCGAAAAACTGATTCGCCAGGGG